TTGTCCATCGATGGATCAACCATCACACGCTGCCGCCTGCCAGTATTGACAAGTAGAATAATGCTGTACACCTGTACCTACCTAACACTAAACTCGATAAAGAAACAATACCAATTTATTGAAATGAGAACAAAATTGTATCTACTTACATTATATTCTATATTTATTATTTACCCAATAATTGATGAATATTATTACTTATAATTCTACACTATACCTATTTGAACCATGACATATGGACTATGAACTATGTTCAGCATCAATAACGTATAGCCCCTAACGTTCAAAAACTCAACTCTAAATAATGATATCACGACATGTCGACATAATATTATTAATATAGGGTTTAAAAACTTCCTAGATATAAAAAAATTTTATATGAATAGTAACTATCATATAATTCATACAAATACATGAACAAATAATAATAATAATACAAATAATCAGTCTTTCCAAAATGTTTGTTTTTATATTTTGAGCGAAGCGATAAATTCATTTTATCTTAAACTCGTGGGCACTTAGTAAATATAAGTAAAGGTAATAGATATATTGAAAATTTAATGTTTCAAAAATAATAAACATGATATTAGATATATTGTATATTATATTATTACCTAATCATTAATTGTACACCAGTTTGTTGTTTCTAATAATTTCAATGAAAGTAATTATAATTAGATTTCTAAATAAATTGAAAACCTTATTCTAATTTTAAAATAAATACATTAGGTACTTACATAAAATTTAAACAATTTAATCAAAAAATCAAACAAGTTCCTTGATCCTTGATTCCACCATCTCCAATTTTGCAATATATAACCTTGTACAATATACCTACCTAATTTGCATTGGTTTTAAATTCAGTTCATATAAACTACAAATATATGTGTTTAGATCCATATTCGGTATTTCTTTTCAAAATTCATAGAAATTATATTTAATTAATTACCATAATATATTAACAATATGATAGGTAGGTAATATTTTGAAAGACGGGTTAATTCAAATATTTCACCATACAAATACAAAATAGATATTCGTTCTTATTCTTATTTTGTATCTCTGCAGGTACAATAATTCCGGGACATCGGACATCTATTATATTATAATCATAATGAGATAATTATACTCTTTTACTAATTTAGTATTGTTGGCTTGTAGCCAAATGAACAATTCAACTGACTAAACGAATTTCGTAGCACTTTTTTTTTTTTGTTACAAGTACCTATTTAATGAAATCGCATGTCCGAAACAAGTGCAATAGTTATTATTAAATACTGAATCAGTGAATATATAATACACATTTCTGCTCGGTCACCTGAAAAACAAATTAATTATTTGGCCTGCGTTATATCATAATCAAAACGAAACAAAATTATCTGCCATGGCTTATGCGTTAATTATTGTACAAGGCAATATAATATAGCGTTGCTGATATAGTATACCTATACGTAAGTTATTTAATATTTTCATAATATACGAACAAGGACAAGTCGACAGCTAAAATATACGCAATAATATACATCAAATTTAAATCTTCCATGCGTTTGAAGAATGGACCTCACACAAATCACATGTATGGTGCACTTGAGACTAATGTCCACACGACTGCAAATGATCATCAACTGTATGAGTATGCAAAGCTTAAACTATAAACAGATATCTATAAAATAAATAATGTAGTTGAATTAATTTTTAAAATTACGTCTGTATATTATTGGTAGGTAACCAACCTATATATTATTCTATGTGATTTTTTTTTTTACAATATTTTAAACGTCTTTGATCAGGTATTAAAAATATGATGGACTAAAGTGATTTATGCTTTAAGCTATTGGTACCATATTACTACCTACAACTTTCAAAAAAATGGCGGACATTGTGGTTTCACAATGGTTTCTACACTTCAAGAAAATACGTTTTTTTTGCGATATCCTCAATAGCAGGGCTTTGCACCCAAATGATCGGGTTTTGAGTGCTGAATGTATTCGGTTGTCCAAACACCCGAATAAAAAATTGAAACAAACTTTTAGGTGTTAATAATCGTTATTATTCAGGTTGACATTGGTGTTCAGTAATCCAGAAAAAAACATATTTTTTTAAACCTTAAGTTATTTTTATTAGATTTTTTTTTTAATTGTATTGTTTAAATATAAATTAATATTTTCCGATCATACATTACCATTAACACTTCAATATTTTATTTGGATTTATTTTGTTCTAATAAAGTAATACAAAATAATTTAAATAATTTAATATTTAGCTATTTGGTTTAGTCAAAATCGAATGATAGAATTTGATTTGATTTTCGAGTTTTTTAAGAAAATATTTATAGTATTTACTTATTTAATTGATTATAAGTACTGTACTAACATGGTCAATATTAAATGAACAACTAACTACCAAATCGAATTAACCACATAAAATGCATACAAAATTATATATATTATAAAGATCGTAAAATAAAATATTATTTGGGCTTCAGGTTAATCAGAAAAAACCCATTCGGGTGAAGTACCTATATGGGTTTCAGGAGTTTGATTTTTTAAGGGTTTTTAGGGGTGTTAGTGTGTTACAGGCTCTGGTTCATTCAAGGGCAAGACCCTCCTTGAAAATATAATTTACCTACTACATTTAAATGATTTAATGATTTAATATACCTATTACACTATTATAAACATACATTTTTAATAGACAGATTTTATTATGTTACATTAGTTATACTTACCTATATAATATTATTATATATTATATTAAACCATTTCTAAATTATAGATTAACAATACATGCAAATGATGGATTTGATACGTCTTATTAATATTTAAACATGTATGTACCTGCAAGATAAATATTTATATGTAGCACCCATTCCAATCAATACCCCTAAGACCCGGCCATCAGCTCTTTGCTCAGTATCCGTCCAAGTCCTTACAAATATAAAAAAAACACTGTCATGTTAATCGGTAAAGCAGTATTATCATAACCTCTAACATTGATCAACTATTAATATTTATATATTATAAATTATAATATATGCATTAATAATAACGTAGACCATAAATGTTTAATAAATAAACAATGATAACACTAAATTAGATTTTTATTTCACTCGGATGTCTCGAAACATCCCAGGTCACAGCAGACAAATATTATTATTTTTATTTTAGTAACATTCGCTATATTGTAAAACATAATACATTGTCATGTCGCAGGTCACGACTACATGCTGTACAAGAGTACCTCAGCTGTGTCTTCATTCTGAAATAGGTGTCCATTCTACACAATAATAGTAATATTTTGAATTATAGAACTGACTTTCAGTGTAGTTTGATCTATCTATATCAACAAAAAAAAAAAATTCACTCGCGTGTACAAATAGTGCTTTCACTTTTGCTAATATTATTACCGTGACGTGCCCCCGAAAAATAAAATAATGTAATTTTTAACCATTGAATTGCCACACGAATTTGAATACTATGCCAAGTTATTTACATTATAAACTTTGTATGTAAGTAGGTAATTTATAAAGAAATTGTGTCAGATAATAATCGCTAGGGTACATATACCTACTATATGCATATTGTAGTCATTGGTCATTAATTATAATTACTAAATTACATTATGGTTTCACTGATTGTGGAACACATACTATGAGAACCCAATGGTGCTAACTGCAGTGAAATTATAATTTATCATAATTTAAAAAATAATGATTGACTAATTAATATTTTGTTTTTCCTTAATTTTTTTTTTTGTTGTTCACGGCGCTTTTGAAAATTACTGGGAATTCCAATTTTAACCTCCCCAATGCACCAACAATATTCACTTTCCAATCGAACAACATACTGAAGTTGAAAATCGAATCGTTATTTCGATTACTTATCGCGTGTAACACAAAAAAAATAAAAAAAACACATCATTGTAAAATCAATACATTCATCGTTCCACTCAGAATCTAAAATAGATTAGGAAACCTTTCATTGTCATTTCACATATTTTGGCGATACGGTTATCAATGTACTACCTATTGTATTAAAATTTAAAATTAAAAAAAAAATGAATACGGATATTTCAATATTTGTTCTAAAAATAACGTAGTTTTTAATTTGATATAATTGATATTTATGTGGGAGAGTGTATTTCCCTGAAAATAAATCACCTGTATTTCAACATGTTAAAAATGTTATACTTATTGTCTATTTATGTTTGTAATAACTAATAAGGTATTACAGCAGTAACTGGCTAGTGGCTGATATGTTTATAAATTATATTACAGTGATTGGTGAGTGATGAATAGTAACTATTTGATATTTTTTTTATATTTTATAAGCTTAGTGACTTGGTAATAAAATATATATTTAAATATAAAATATTATAAATATATAAAATAATATTCATAACTAATAAGAAATAACTACATAGTAAATACTTAATAGTTAGTAGGTACTTTAGTACCTAGTTAACATTACAAATTATAATCATTTATAAATCGAGTATAGAATCCTCTGGATTTATCCACCGCAGACAGTACAGACTTTAAGTTAGGTATGGTATAATAAAAAATGTATGTAATATGATTATCAACTATCATTATTTATTAGATTGTGTTTCCACTATACATTACTTTTTAGTTCATTAGAAGAAAAAAAAACAATTTTTTCATGAAATTTTTTAATTTTTCAGAAAAATAACCAGTTTTTCCAAAAAAAAATGTTTTTTTCGGAAATTTTGATCCCTATTTTTAACAAACCAAAATGATCACTTAATAAGTCAACCTGGTCAAGATGTAGCACAGTGTGCCTACCATAGAATAGTCATTTAATTAAAATATGATGTACGTTTATTTTTGATACGAATATGTATTAATAATATGTATTAATAATATGTCATTAGGTGACATAATATTATGTGCGTCTCGGTTTAAAAGTCGTTACTGCAGTTCCGTAAGTTTTGTGTTGTTTTCGTGTTGGTAGGTGTTTGGTATAGTGCATAACTGGTTCCTAGCTGTAGCATCCACTGTTTTTCTTGTTTTTTGGGGCGTAATCCATTTTCCACTGTTGAGCTGGTGGACAAGTTGGGGACGGATTATCCAAGCATCCAACCTTGGTGTAGCACCCGGGATGCCGACAAGAGTCTTGAAGACCGTTGAATTTTACACACACACACTTTGTAACCTAAAATAAGAAATGGTAGGTATGTTATTCAGCTGGCCTAAGCCTTAAGGTAAACTAAGCAACGATATTTTATTCTTCAATGTAGAATAATATTATGTTGAGACACTTGTCATGGGAGCCCCCTAGGTAAAACATTAGTGGAAGGGGAGAAGAACTAAAAAACTCTTTAAATTAACACATTAAACAATTATTCGGTATTAATAATTATCAATAATTTCAATGTTTAATCAATATCAATATGATCGACCTGATGTTTAAAAAAACGTTGTATTTTTTTACTCACCAATTTTCCATTGTTTGCCATAAACTCTCTACCATACGCTGTCAGTTGAGGTCTGTCACATTCGTTTTGGGTAGTGGTGCAAAAATTTCTAGTCGGTAATCTCTGTCTTTCGCAGACGTTGGTATTGATCAAGGGAGTCGGTGTCACGGGCGACAGAGTACAACAAGGAGTACGCTTCTTGGGACCCGCTTCGGGATTCATCTGTCCACAATTTACTCTTCTATTCATGTCTTCTCTTTGAAGCTCCTTCATTGTGTTCATCAAATTCTGTTGTTCGCATCGTTTTTGTAATTGGTTTGGAGTTTCCATTTTATTGTCTGTTTAGAGTTAAAATTTTGCTGTGTTTTATTTCGGTGTTATACCTACTATATATTGAAAAATATTTGTCTGAGTGTTGTGTATTGAAAATACCGGAACGTGTTACGTTAGAAACCAACTATTTTTTATTAATCGTCAGTTTTCAAAAATAAATATAAAAAGAGGTTTAATATTATATTTAAGTTTAGCCATTTAGGTATGAAATTTAATTTGTAATGTATGTTAATTATATAATTATATAATATGTGTATCATCATTGTAATAATATTATATTATATTCGTGATATTTATATAGGTTTATAGGAGTTTGGCAAGTTCCTTATAAAAAGGAATTCTTTCCGTTTCTTGTTTTTTTTTTAAAAAAGGAATTCGTTCCTTTGTCGTTCCTTTAGAAAATGAACGAGTTCCTTTTTTAGTTCCAAATAAAACTAAAATTAAAATTCTTATTTATTAATTATCTTTTTTTTTCATGTGCATACTTCTTTAATTACTAATTATAATATATACCAACAAAGAGGTACATAATATTATTTTATAATTCTATTTTGAGATTTTCTTCAAAATTAAATTATTGGCCGACGTATGTTGACGGTCTCTTCGTTTATAATAATTTTATTAAATGGCACTCAATTCTATATAAATTATAACTTAAAACTTACAATAAGAAATATTAATAAAGTGACTAATGACTAATGAATAACGATTAACGTCGATACTCGATAACGATCACTAATTGGCAATATACATCATACACATTAAGAAAATACATCTTAATTTTAATTATTTACTTATCTGTGTAAATTATTTTAACTAAAAAGGAACTGTTGTTATTTTTCCTTGAAAAAAAAGAACTCGTTCGTTCTCTCGTTCTATTTTATAAAAAGGAATTCGTTCCAGGAAACCGTTCCTCCCCGTACTCCATTGGGAGTAGGAATTGCCAGTTAGTAGTAGTAGGTATAGTCAGTATAGGTGCTCTAGTATATCTTGAAATAATTTATAATTTATAATTTATATAGGTACTGAGTACGGCGTACCCATCGCACTTTTTATAAAAATCTGAGTGAGTTGAGCGCCAAACAAATTTAATAAAAAACAGTGAATTTATAATGAATAATAAAGCTAATATTATTTTATGACGATGTGGGCCCACACAATATATATATAGAAACTATGTGAATCGTAGCTAAATGGTTTAAATTTTAACTTCAATTATTGTAAAATGAACCGTCAAAAAAATAAGTAAGTAATTTTTCAGTGTGTCAATATTGTGATAACAGTAGAAACGGTAGACACTTTGACACGTCGTAAAAGAAATATTTTCATACGGTAGGTACCTATGTAATTTAAACTACAACTCTGAATAGATACTCTACTATAGCGGCTAGCCTATAACTTCTCAATTTCTCATGGTTAGGTTATGTTATAGGTTTGAAGATAGGTAATATTGTATAGGTACCTATAGGTTGGTTGAATAATAAATTATTATTTATTAGGTATGTGGTATATAAAATAAAATTTTTATTTTAAAATATTTTTGATATTTTCAAACATTTTGCCAAAATTATTTCATCAAATAAATGTAAATTTAATTGTTATACGACTTACGGCCAACAAACATTTATGTTGGTTACTATAAATAAAGATCAAAATCTATAGTGATGCATTAATAAACAAAAGTACAACACAAATTAAAAACACACACATTTTAACCGATCACAAAAATCATTATATTTTAAATTAACTCAATACGTTACAAATAAATTTATACTTTTACATCAGAACGGCGCGCGTAGCCCGTCACACATTTTACTCATTTTAAAATACAAAATTACTGTACCTGAAAATCATGCGGGAAATCTGCCACATACAAGCTGGACAGTGCGGCAATCAAATCGGTTCTAAAGTAATTATATTCGGACATGACAATAAAATTATTATTATTTACAGCCGGGTTCCCACGACTCTCGTGGCTCGGTTCTTGGATCGTTTTGGCTTCGTATCATAGAAGCGCCGTGGGCGAGGCTTGGTATAGCGAGGGGGCTCGAACGCGATTGTCTCTTAGGCGATCTTTTTGACTTCGCATGGCTTTTTCCAACGGCGAAATTCCTAGGTACAGTCACTGTCCACGAGCCGAGCCACGGAGGCTTAATAATAATGCCATCACTCCACACAATACTCTATTCCAAATAAGTTTGGGAAAACCTCGTAACGGTAGGACCGCTGCGATTGGCCAGTTGTCGTCGGCTAACCGACTGCAGCCAATGCGAGACTGCACCTTCGAGAACAAGATGCGGTTTCGTAGTGATTTTTTTCCAATCTTATTTGGGATAGAGCAGCGTTTCTGAACCTTTGGTACGCACACCGTTAGAGGTACTCGGAAAGTTCGTAGGCGGTATGCTAAGAAAATCTCCTTTTACAAAAAAAATTGTATGGATCATTATTCTCAAAAAAATATTATTTGGTTTGTTTGATATTAATAATAATATTAGAAAATAACAATTATATTTCGTTTTCTTTTTATTCATTAAATTCTTATAATATTATCATAATTTTTGTAGTACCAAATAAAATAAAGTATTCTTATTTGATAATCAAAAAAAAAAAACGTCATTTTGTCAATTGGTAACTATATGAAAATGTTCAAACTGTGTGGGTATTATGTGGATATAAAAAGGTTGAGAACCGCTGGAATAGAGTGTAATTTAGTATCGTTTAATTCTATACGCATATACGAAATCTTTTATAATCTCCTACTGTGCAGTTCTGGCAAGTGATATCTGACGAACACGGCCTCGATGCAACCGGAACGTATAAAGGAGATTCCAATTTACAGTTGGAAAGGATCAATGTCTTCTACACCGAGGCGCTTGGTAAGACTGGATTCTAATATTAATATTTTATTATTGTTAGACGAATCCCAAAATACATATAAAGATATTGTGTCTAACCTTTAGGCGGAAAGTACGTGCCCCGAGCGGTCCTCGTGGATTTGGAACCCGGCAGCATGGACACGGTGAGGTCGGGTCCTTACGGTCAGTTATTCCGACCAGATAACTTCGTTTTCGGACAATCCGGAGCAGGCAACAACTGGGCGAAGGGCCATTACGCCGAAGGCGCCGAGTTGATGGATTCGGTGTTCGACGTAATCAGGTATGCGATTGGTTTATGAATATTATGTAGAGGTTAGCTGTGGTAAAAATTGAAATAAATTATAATATTATTTTATGAAAAATTTAAATTATCTACATTAGGAAGGTACTTACAGTGTGGGGCCGATCACCGTCGCGATCACCGTTTATACGACACACATAATCATGTACCCATCGTTATAATAGAAATGTATGAGTGTATCTTAGTAGTTAGTATCATCACTTAAGGAGAGCGCATGGGTTTTGCAATATACTACTGACCTATCCTTTGCAAAGATTAATAATTTTAACCCCCTCTCATATAGGCAAAATCGATGAGACCGTTTTTCTTTTTTTGTAACACAACCGTTTTTCTTTTTTTTTAATATTTCTCCAAGTTAAAGATTAAAAAAATAAAAAATCTATATATATAAAAATGATTGTATGTCAGTGTGTCAGTGTGTCTGTGTGTCTGTGTGTCCATGTTACCATGGTTACCAAGGTTGCCATGGTTACTAAGGTTACCAAGATTTCATATCAATCTATATCTATATATATAAAAATGAATGTATGTCAGTGTGTGTGTGTGTGTGTGTGTCATAGAGTAATAAAACTATAGAGGCGGCATTAGGCAGATATTATGATTATCAGATCGAAGCAAAATTGAACGCCATTGTACCCCTCTTACAACTCTAGTGAACACTAGATAGCGTTTTCGACCATGAAATTAAATAGATAATCGACATTATATTTTATTACTCTATGGTCTATGGTGATAACTGATAATAAATGATTAATGTTTGATTAGCATTAAAAATTATAATTTTAATTATAATTATAATTTTTAACTGTATTTTAAATTTTGTAAAATTGTAAGTAACGCGAGTCTAGCCTAAAATCATCATTTGTAAAATTTGTTCTTCTTATTTTAAAATTAATTTTTATTATTCCAAATAAAATAATGTGTTAGTATATTTACAACAATTTATTTTCCATATGATGGTTGCACTGCAAGTACCCCGTTTTCGCTTCACTTTTAGAATGATATGGCCACCCCTTGGTGTGTGTCCATATTACCATGGCAACCATATCTGTATATAAAAAACAGTAAGCTGATTGACTGCTATCAACGCACAGCTCAAACCATTGGACGGATCTGGCTGAAATTTGGCATACAGATAGCTATTATAATATAGACGTGCGCTAAGAAAGGATTTGCCAAAATTCGCATTTTAAATAGGTGCTGAAACAGGGACATTGAGATTCACGATAGAAATTGGAAATTTTATTTTTATTTATTTATAGTTGCCATTGGTTACAGTCTACATTAGAAATTAGCAATTTATTGGTTGCCATTGGTTATTCGGGCAGATCAGGTACAAGCTTGCATCAAATCGAATTATTGAACAATGCTTACCAGGGTGGCAGAGTTGCACTTACCGCAGAAAATTACACCCAAAAGGAGTTCAACAATCATAATTTTTTTAAGAGTTGCGATTTTTTACGAGCAACTAAATTTATTATATTAATCCACAGTATTACATCAAAATAAACTTGGTATAACTTTGATACTTTAGAGTTAAATCATACACTTCCGTACAAACAGCACGGGGTCCGCGATCTACCGCAGGTAGATTGCCTACCTGATAATGTACTGCTGCGATTCAGAATTTTTATTCAGGGCAGCGGGAAAGATAAGATAAATTTTGAACACCATACACGTTAATGAATTGAACAAAGTTTGAGTAGGTAGTATTGAGTTGATCCATTTAACGGGCGACGAAGTGCACGGGATCAGCTAGTAAATAAATAAAAACATAGATAGGATACATTTATAATCTGTGTTAAAATTTAAAAACTAAAAAAGTACTAGGTATAGTCCTAACTATAAGACTAAATTATTTTGTTATTTGTACCTAATGACGCGTACCTAGCTGACCGTCACATCTTAAATCTGTCTATGACCTAAGAAATTTTAAAACGCCAAAAAAATATATAAATTATTTTGTGTTTTATAGGAAAGAAGTAGAAGATTGCGATTGTTTGCAAGGATTCCAAATGACCCATTCGCTGGGAGGCGGTACAGGTGCCGGAATGGGCACACTTATAATAGCAAAAATCCGTGAAGAGTATCCGGACCGCATGATTTCCACGTACAGCATTGTCCCATCACCGAAGGTATAATTTTATGTTTAACGGCCGATGAGTTAATATAAAATACCTATAGATACAACGCCAAAACGACTATTAAACGTTTGGGCACAACAATTTAAGAAACTTTTTGAAAGTGAACTATCATAATAATATGCTTACTTACAATCATATATCTATTATTGCTCGAAAGATATTTTTGAATTAAAACTACGACTACCTACTACCCACCTATGTTATGTTATGTTTGATTGTTAATAATAACCAACACTTTTTTTTGGGGGGGGGATTTAAAATACGAAGACAAGAATAAAAGCCCCCTAATTTCAATTAATATTTCTTATTTTTAAAAAATTATCCAACTTATATGCTTCAGCTCGGCTTCTTTACGCTTTAATAATAAAATGTTATTGAGGAAACAACGAAACATGCTATATCAAGCAAAATTTTATAGTAGGTCAAATTAAGTGGTAGGTCACATATTGGACTTGTCCCCACTTTTGTAATACGAAAAATTATGATGAAAGTAGGCACTTATACAAATTACCAATATTTTACTTGTTCGACGAATATAATCATTACCTAATCAAGCTCACGTAATGTTTCCTAATAAATTGCACTTTTTCGTAGTGTTCAGCACTTTCTTATCATCTGGTAGAATAGTTCATATATGATCGAGTCTTCCAGTTATAAAAACTAATATAATATATTATATAATCCATTTACCATTTACTATTAATCCAATCTATTTCTTATCATTGAGTGCCTAGACGTGTAGGAAATAGTTTTAGGGATAGTGTGTGCCCAAACATTAAGTAGATTTTGATACAAAACTAGTAAACATTCACAAACGTCCTGCATCAGTTGTACGTACTAACATAATAAATCATGCAGGCCCCAATTTGCATTAGTGAAATAGGGCCCCTAACCATAACCAGGACTAACAAGATTTAAAACCTTTTTTTGTATTATTTTTAAAGTTCACAATGAACAGCACATTTAAAATCCCTAGGATAGTATAATTCGTTAGTATTATACTATTATTATTATAGTATAATATGGTTTTAAAAAAAAAATCTATTTAGTAGGTGATCTGAACCAAAACGAATTATACTATCCTAGGGATTTTAAATGTGCTGTTCATTGTGAACTTTAAATATAATACAAAAATTCAGATCACCTAAATAGATTTTTTTTTAAAACCATATTATACTTAAATATATAATATGAAGTAAGTACGTAACACATAACTACACAAGCAATAAATTGCTGATTTATCGTTTTACTTTGTTCTATATTTTCGAAAACAAAAACTAAATAATTCGGGTGCGGCGCAGCGATGAGCAATAGGGATGCAAATATGCCTATATTAAATCAATTTATTAAACTAGTGTAATATCTATTATGTTAGGAACATATCCGGCCCCGAACATCACTGGTACCTAGAATAGTGTCCACGTGCTTGCCCTGTCTGCCTGCCCGTCTGCCCGCCATGCTGCGTACCTACATGCAGCCTGTACGTACCTAACACGCCGCGAAACGGTCGTCATACACCGCCCGCGTTCATATTTATTAACAATTAGGGCTCAGAATTTGTGGGAGTTGCATACTTTTTTTTTATATGTTCTTGATTTATACTATCTTTCTATAAATACAGCTTTGTGTAATATACAATGATGAGTTTGAAAACTGAAAATAAAACAACGTTATCCAGGGATCAGGGTATTATTTAATGTTTACTAAAAAAATGAAGTTTTCATTTTATTGTTAGGTATCTAGTATCTACTTGCGTACATAATTACGACTTAAATATTAGCTATCTATAAATATTTAAAATACATTTTTACGAATACCATTTATACCGATGATATTTTTTCAGTTCAATACCTGACTATAACAACGCTAACCGATTAGATTTTTCAGTTATTTGATAAAACAATTTTTAATTTAGTATCTGCCTAACATAGTAAATGTATTAGTAACAATACAACAATGTGATATTATAATAGTTTACAAATTTGAAGATTTTTTATGGGAATTTCGATATTTTTCTTTCATATTTTACAATAGATTTGTTTCCATATTTTGTCAATTTTCAATTTTATAAATTCTGAGCCCCCAATATGAAATAATATAACATATAAATAACAAGAGATTTACAAGACGATTTATCGACACGTTGTACATAGGTGTCCGACACCGTCGTGGAACCGTACAACACGACGCTGTCCGTGCACCAGCTGATGGAGAACACCGACCAGACGTACTGCATCGACAACGAGGCACTCTACGACATCTGCTTCCGGACGCTGAAGCTGAACACACCCACGTACGGTGATCTGAACCACCTGGTGTCGGCGGTCATGTGTGGCGTGACCACGTGCTTCCGTTTTCCCGGGCAACTGAACACCGACCTCCGGAAGCTGTCCGTCAACATGGTACCATTCCCGAGACTGCACTTCTTCATCACCGGGTTCGCGCCGCTCACATCCCGCGGCGGCCAGCAGTACCGGGCACTGTCCGTCCCGCAACTGGTACAGCAAATGTTCGACTCCAAGAACATGATGGCCGCGTGCGACCCTCAGAAAGGACGGTACCTGACCGCCGCCAGCATATTCCGCGGCCGCATGTCCATGAAGGAGGTGGACGAGCAGATGCTCAACGTGCAGACGAAAAATTCCAGCCACTTCGTCGAGTGGATACCGCACAACACCAAGACGGCTGTATGCGACATACCACCCAGGGGTCTCAAGATGTCGGCCACGTTTGTCGGCAACACGACCGCCATCCAGGAGATGTTCAAGCGGGTGTCCGTGCAGTTCACCGCCATGTTCAAGCGCAAGGCTTTCTTGCACTGGTACACGGGAGAGGGCATGGACGAGATGGAGTTCAGCGAGGCCGAGACCGACATGCACGATCTGGTGGCCGAGTACCAGATGTACCAGGAGGCCACCGTCGACGCTCCTGCAGGAGACGTAGACGAAGAATAAAAGTCATGACGTTGTTATATACAGTCAGAATGTGACAAAATAAACCATGCTAAATTTTAACAATCGTTGTTCTTAATATCACCTAAAAGTTATAACGTTAATAATGACTATAACGTCTAACCGTACACTGACTAGATGATGATAATTTGAGCCACTTAGCACCTGTAATTCGCACCAATAATAAATAAATGTTTACACCCAAAGGTGGGGGCATTAACTAGTTAGTTAATTGTATAGTTAACTTTGGAACATAGGTAGTTTAATTGACTGTTAAAATAACTTAGATTTTTTTAGTTGATATTTTGAAAATAATGCATCAAATTAAAATAAGAATGATATTTTTAAATTACAAAAAAATAACTATCTAAAAAAGTTATTCTTCATTTAAACATCTAATTTCGTTCAAATTTTAACTTAAAAGGTTAAATGTATATAAAAAGAATTATTGAGTTTATATATTTTTCAGATTTATTGGTAGGTATCTGTGAGAATCTTTGTATCCTTTTAGCTGTAAGAATTAAAAAATTTATACATAATTATACACATATAATTTGTACATTTTCGTGATTTTATTTTAGCTGTTCAAAATTCTAATTTCAGACAATCATAAAAAAAATGATTCTGGATTTAGGCTCAATATTTTTTTTAATTTCCACCAACAAAAACTTATAAGAACGTTTGTATCTATTACATTTTTTGACCAAGCTAAAGATTTTTCATCAACTATCATTTAAAAAAAAAAACTAATTCAAATTGAAATTTTCTTATGCCTATAAATAGTTCAAAAATAGTCGCAATATTTTGACTTTATGGTGTATAGAAAATGTCAATATATAAAACGTGATGGCAGGTACAAATAAAAAGAAAAAATTAACACGCATCATTTTGAAATCAATACATTCATCGACTTTCCATTAAAGTTTTTTCTTAAGTTTTTTGTACTATCAAGAAAGCTTAAGGGAAATCTTTTATTACATTTTCAAAGCTTGGATAAAGCTTAAATAAAGTTTTGTACATTTTCAACTCGAAATAATTTGCAAATTTTCGTGATTTTGATGAATTTTGTCAACGTTTTAACTTCAGACGTTTATAAAAAATTACTGTGGATTTACGCTCAACTTTTTTTTTTTTAATTTACACTAACTTATGGAGAACGTTGTATTACATTTTCAAGTTTTTTGACCGAACATAAAATATTTTTCGACAATAATTTAAAAAAAAACTAATACATTTCAAAATTTTCGTATGCCTATAAATAACTCGAAAAGAGTTGCAATATTTCAATAATTGTATGGTGCATAGAAATTTATTATATAAACATTCAGTTAAAATGTCAGTTAGGTACCTACTCTAAATTTGAAATCAATATTTTTCAAAAACTAGTTTTGAGTACAAATCTTAGTATTTCCTAACTATTAAGAATTAAACTATTCCCCTAAGTAACTACCAGAAAAGACGCTGTTGAAGAAAATCCAAGCATTTTTACTGTCCAAAAGTTGATAATAGATATAATACAATAACACTATTGTAAAATCAATACATTCATCTCTCTGAATTCAGAATCTAAAATAATTAAAAAAATTATCCATAACCTATGTACATTTTTGACAAAATTGTTTTTTCTTCAGATTTTGCAAGTAGGTATATAACATATATACCTACTCAATAATTGGTGTGTTCTAAATAAACTGTATTTCAATATTGATAAATGTAAAATTATGACATATTCAAAAAAGCTCTTAACTCAAAATTATAAGTATTATTTAAATGATATTGAACTGGCTAGAGTTTCTCATATCAAAGATCTTGGAATTTTTTTTTTCTCTTAATTATCGTTTAATGATCACTATTCATATATCATTAATAAAATATCATCCTCAATGTTAGGTTTTTTAAGTAGAATATGTTCTGATTTCAATAGTGCAATAGCTCTAAAATATCTGTATGGCTCATTAGTTCGTTCTGAACTAGACTGTTGTCTCGTCCTCGTTACATGTTTGGTCCGACTGAAGCTGAAAGCTAGAAGTGATTCAAAATTGTTTCTGGCTTATAAATGCGGTGTCCAACTCTAGCGTCACACATCATATTTACCATTACTAACATTAACCAACTTCGTAACTTTAAAAATAAAGAGAATTAGCCTCGACCTTTGTTTCACTTTTAAATTATTAAATGGTGTCATAAATTGTTCTGAACTACTAGATAAGTTTAATTTTCAAGTACCCAATACTCATACTAGGAATTCTAATACATTGTATGTGCCATTCCATCATACTAATTATGGTAAAAATGCCTCCATTATTAGGTTAATGGATTTAACAGGTTTAATTGGTTAACAGGTTTAACATAGATTTGTTAATTTGTAATAATATTATCTCTTTCAATGTATACCTTAATAATAATTTGAATATTGTTTGATTACTATTTATATGTACGTAACTTTATTTCTGTATCTTACCAGTTTGTATTGTAACACTATAAGAGCACTACAACGTACGAAACTTTACTTTGTAGACCAACGCGGTCCTTGTTCAATTTTGTATATACTGGGCTTAGCCCGTTTAAATTTTTTATATATAAATAAATACATGAAATTCAAGTTAAAAATGGTTTAATTAAATAATATAATTAAAATAAAGTATACATTAGACATCTACTCTAAAAATAAGATAACAAATAATTAATTCATATGTATTATTCGAGTAATTTATACTTTGACTTATTCCTTGATCAAAAAAATTGTATTCTGTCCTTCAAAAAACTGTGCAACTGAATGAAATCTTCATTCAACCAATACACTTCATCGTTTATAAAAATCATTGCAGAGTCAGGTGTTTTAGTTAATATGTTGGGTTCGGACTCCACATTTTTCATTTCTCCATTGACATTAATAGCGAATTCATCAAATAATTGGTCCGATTGCGCAAAAGCTGTAGAAAGTTCCTGCTGTACTTGTTGACTATAATTTGAAGATGGGATATCAACACTCAATTGAAGTTTGCTAGTCGCATGATCAATATATTGCTTTTTTAATGATCGTTCTTTTGCTTTTGTTGTCCTGGATAAATACTCATATAGACAAACACCACCATAAATAGCACCAGCTGCTATCATCGAACTCCATCCAATTGTTTTAAACATCTAAACAATAGAAAATTCCAAGAAAAATCCAATTCAATATCATTAATTTAAAAAGTAATACTTACAAATCCTGCTAAAACTATTCCTCCTAAGACTGAACCTTGAGTTCCTGCATCCCTAGATGAAACACGAGATATCAAAGGTAAATTTGGTTCCACAGCCAAATAATCATCAAGGCTACTGAATGAATAATCAGTAGCAGTGATTGGTAAATTTTGATTTGTTATATTTTCAAATTGTTCTTCAGTAACATTAAATTTATCTTGAATTTCATTTATCTGACTCATGCTGAAATGTGTTTGTTCTTCACTCCTGGTGTTAATTATATCCATAATTGTATTCATTTCTCTAGAAGTAATACAAGAATTTTAAGTACTGTAATAATAATACCTAGTTGATAAAAATCTTACGAGAGCAAATATTTCCCATGCATTGAATAGTTAAAAAACTTTAACAGTGCCGATTTTGAGATACAATCCTCTAATTGCTTTTCAAAATCTAAAAACTCCCAATATTTCTTACTAAATGGTTTGATAATTGGCTGTAATCCATTGCGTACTTTTACACGGAATTCTAAGACTTCCTTGGCTGAAATAAAAAACATTTGAGAATATGACTCATATGTATATTCTTTCAATTTCTTCTCCAGTAAATCTATATTTTTCTTCATTTTTTGTTTACATTCCTAATAAAAACAATGTATACGTTAATAATATATACATTTAAACATTTTAAACAAATAACATCAAATAATTATTATCAAAATTAATATGCAAATTCTGTATCTTTATTATCTGGAAAATGTTGACAGAGAAAATTTATATTTACCTGCCTATTCACTATTAAAATGGACAGAAAGATAGTAACATAAAATAGAATTGTTATTTAATAGTAATACTAATAAAATATTATGATTATAAATAATACCTGGTCAAATAACTCGGATTCATCAGGGCAGTTAATCAATATAAATATATTTGTGTTTGGTAATTTTTTTGAAACTTTATGAAGAAAATTAATTTCCTGAAAATATAATTTTTATGAATCGGATGTTAATATTTTATTTATTATCGTTAAATAATTTAGTTTTGTAATTATAAGCTATTACAAGCTAAAACTAAAATTAGTAATAACCAAAGCACTTAAAAAAATATAGATACAATGTAGATGATAGAAAATAATACGACTTTGGTATTAGAGGTAAATAACAGACTGTCATGCATTATTATTAGGGTTAGCGACTTAAAGGATAATGCATCTAAATCCATCAAAAAAAGAGCTTAAAAGACACTCACAAACTTCATTATAAGCACTCAAAAGAGCACTTTGATACATTAAAATAAGCAAAAACATCAATCTCAACAATTCACCACTCCCTCGTAAATCTAAAAAAAAAAACAAGACTCCCCTACAAATAAAATATATTATTTTATAATATAAAACACATGTAAGTCCTCCTAAATACCACATACATAACAAACAGCTTGTGTGGGATTGAGAGCACATTTATGTTAGAAATATTGCTACCTCTGAAATTTCAATGGATTTTCGTACATTACTGTTGTTTTCATTATAGCCTCTGATCTGTGCTAATTACTTATTTGTTACTATGATTTAACTTGATTGTGTTTTAATAATATATATAAGTAGTAAGTACAGTATAAATATGTGAGATTTAAATAATTTACAATAAAGAGCTACAAAATACTCTGTGTTACTATTCATAAAAGAAAAAACTAATAAGCAATGCATAACAATTGGCGACGAGGAAAATAATAGTAAATGTTAAAAAAAATTGACTTATTTTTCATTACCTAAATCGTAGTCGCTATAGCTTTAGAATTTTCTTATGAACTATTTATTTTATTAATACACATTTGATTATCATAGATCCATAATTCTTTGAGAGACTAAATAACTACATAAAACTGAAAGTCCTTAATTTAACTTATTTCAATTGCTATTTTTTTTAAATGCAAAGTTTTTTATTAAAAAAATAACTTATTATTATTGTGAATTAATTTTATTTTCAAAAGTTTTGTTAATTCACAGTGAACACAAAAATATTTTGGTGGAAAAATTTGCAACCACCTTATAAATTTACCACCCCCTAATATTTATCGACTGGAACAGTTGTAGCCATTTCCCCTTCCCTTAAATACGACACTAATTGTTACAGGGCCTACAATGTAAGCAAAAATAAATATAAATTATTAATAAAATATATACAATATACTTACAGTATCTATTAATGTGGATTCAGCATTAATAACTAGCACAAAAGCATCAGCATTAATGCAATGACCATCAATCCACTCATCCAAACATGGTGTAGTATCTATTCCTGGAGAGTCAACTAATGCTACATCATCTTTTAATAATCCACAGTTTTCTTTTGGCCAACACACATGTACCAATTTTTTTTTATTTGGTTTAATAATGTTTTTCAATATGTGTGCCAAATAAGTAGCAGACTGAAAAAAAATGTATTATTGATTATTTTAAAATTAAAACATTAGGTAAACATACAAATAATATAATTTTCGATGACTTACCTCTACATTATGTTGTATAGGTAATATGCCTTCAGTATTTAAATATGCATTACCAGTAGGAGACCCTTCAACTTGCAGAAAACCGTTAGTTGTATGACCAATACCACTTGGGAGGACATTTTCTCCCAACATTGCATTCACAACCGTACTCTTTCCACTGCTTGTTCTAAATATTGCATTAATTAATTAAAACAACTAATATTTAATATGTTAAGGTATCCTTATTAAGATTCAATACTCCATACAAATAAATTCAATGAAGTTCATTATGTCTGTGAAAACAATTTAAGAAATAAATTTACAAGCTTGATACATAATTGAACAGTTGAAATTTCAATACATAAAAAAAAATTACAAAAACACTAAAATAATTTTTTAGTTTTTCAAAAGCCAATATTAGGTACCTACCTATTATAATTGTTAGTTTTACACTAAACACAAACGAACCAAAAAAAAAAAAAAAAAACAAACCTGCCAAAAACAGCAACTTTCATATGAACATGGTTGAATACTTCATAAATTGCTTCGACTTGAGATTCATAATATAATAAAAGGTTTAATTCATTTCCATCAATCACATCCGGGCATATCCCACTCAAATCTGAAAAATATATTCATAAGTAATTATAATTATAGGATTAATAAGCAATAAAATATAGAATTCTATTAATATTAAGGGATATTACATTGATAACATTTGAAGAATGAAATACCTGTAGTTTTACACAGGTTAAAACTTTAAAACATGGTCAAAATGTATTTTGGTGATTTTTTTTAAATACTTCAGTCTTCAATATAATGTATTTGAATGCGATTATAGTTAACTGCCTCGAGAGTACTACAGTAGTCACTCGATAATTTGAAATTCAAGGGACCGAGTTAAAAATTGGACTAATAGATATTTTTGATTTACCAAGTGTTTGAATAATCCACAGAAAACAAATTAATTCAAATTAAAGAGAGGTGACAAATTGTATTTATATATTACATTTATTTTTAGGTTTATTTTGGTAAAAATAATACGATTAAAGTTTAGATTAGGTAGGTAAGGTACGATAACATTTATAAACTACGATAATATTTAACCACCGTTGTTATTAATTTCATTACGAGTATGTCAAATAGATTGCACTTAATCTTTATATGTACATATATATGAACTTACATATAATCGAATTTAAGGAAATTCAAATAATATTTTCGTGGAAAAAATTTGAATTGCAGTGTGTCCCACCAACAGACAATTCAAAATAATTATCCAGGGGACCAGAATACATGTTTTTCCTTCTAATTATAGAGGTTTTCTTAGGGGACTCAGAGTTTAGTTTGATTTATGGAGCTTTTTGAATTATCGAGGTTCGAATTATTGAGTGACTACTGTAATAACCAATAATTACCACAATAAAGAACAGTAAAAATAACAATGTTTAACAAAATTGTACTGTTCATAATGATTCACAGGCACGGACTGGCTGAGATGTCCTAAAGTATATTTGCCCCTATACCTAGGTATAAATGTGCTTTAACTAAAAACCTAAAATTGATGTGAATTTTGAAAATGAAAGTTACAACTCTGTTAACGTTGTAAGTAGGCATTTATAAAATAACTATAACAATTATAAAGAAAAAATTTAAAGTAGCCAGAAAGGTAATAAACTAATTAGATTATTAATTATTATTAATTTTTTATGTTTATGCTATAAATAATTCTGAGATTCACACAAATAGTTTTATAAACTGCTTAATAATGACTAAAATCATTTATCTCTGTAATTTAATAATTATTAAACAATTACTTTGCTACATCCAACATGCTAAAACCAAAATTAATATTACTGTTATTGTACTTGAGGTGAACATTAGTGAATAGTTTGATTGATGTAGAGCTATTTATAAGCATATGCTATTTTTGATCTTTATTAGTTTTTTTTTCCACAAAAATATTGTTGCTTGGTCTAAAAACTTATAAATTTAACACAAGGTTCCACATACATTGAAACCAATAATTATTAATACCTTTTAATACCAGACCCTGATAGGATCAAATCAATAAAGGAATAGGGAGATCACTAAATAAGAAAAAATTGCAATCTTCTCTGGGCATGATTTCTCTTAGAGCATTCATATCCAATTATTTATGAGAAATAATTACTCCTCTCAGAGAACTACTTAAAAAACATGTGATATGAAATTGTAGTAAATAATGTGAATCAATGTTTAATAACTTAGAAGAAATACTCTGCAAGATCTCAATTCCAAAAAACTATGAGAGTAAGCATGAAAAGATAGTATGCAAAGATGACGGTGAATTAAAGCACTATTAGAATTTAAGAAACGAGATTATGATTAATAGGTAATGGTTTACTATACTATGAGACAAGAATAATAGTCCCTAAATGTCTTAGGAAATATGTAATTAATAAACTGCATGAAACATATTTAGGAATTATAAAAACAAGGGCAAGAGCCAAACAATTATTTTATTTCCCTGGAATAAATAATCATATTGAAAATTATATACCGTCTTGTCCTACCTATTTGCTTTAAATGTAATAATCTTTTTTTTTCATACTCTCTATAAATTAGTTTTACTTCAATAAAAATGACGATATTATGCAATAATATAAATTAGATACCATTTATATGTTCAGATGCTCTGATCCCGTAGTCCAGTATACCAAGAAATATATTATTTAATTTTTGTTTAGCTATGCCAAAGTCCTGGTAGGTTGACATTTTTCAAATCACTAAGTAGGTACCTATAAAATATAAACAAAATGTACACAATAAGTGTTTATCCCATTTCACAACAATACTTACAACAATATTCGAAGATAATTTAGAACAGCAAAATCAACAAACTGTAATAATAATAATATGTCGTCTCGCACGTTAATTGAAATCACGAATAGATTATTTGAATATAGATAATAAAAAACGAATCACTGACAAAGAATTAAGCATTACAAGAACTACAGAAGTGCAGTCGCAGCCATTAGGTACACGATTATAAGTTAATAAACTATTATGAACGTGATTAAGATCGTGAGCAATTAGTAATACACGATAAAATTAATTATAGAAGTTATTCAAATATTGATATTATGATAACAGCGTCGATGAACACTTATAATTACCACGTCTACTCGGTGACGTTAAAACGGTTTTAAATCCATAGATAGTCGCTTTCTTACTGATAGTTATTTTATCTAAGAGTAACAATTAATGTATTATCCGTTGATTTAAAACCGTTTTAACTTCGCCGTGTAAACGTAGGACCTAATGGGCAGTATACAAACAGGTCGTAAGATTTTAAGTAGGTATACAAAACCGCGGTTAAACGCGTAAAATATTCACCATGGTCCTATATTTTTTTTTTTTTATAGAACGGTATAGGGTACATACAACCCATACATCTTAAACCGTGATACAACCATTTGTGTTCTATGATACAACCATTGAATTATAGAAATAGACGGAACATTAGGTATTGTGCAATGTGGAGCTTGTTACGAGGATTTTTCAAGCTACCTATGTATTGGCTGTCGGAACAGTGCCATTTCTCTCACTCTTATGATAAAACTCGCATAATTTCCCTCTTGATCCGTTTGGCACAGTCCTCGGGACAAATGTCCCATCTATTTCTATAAGGCTGTGGAAACAACATACACGACTCATTGACATGGCTGGACATAAATAGAAAGTAGGAGGTAGATTGTTTGTTTATTATAATATGATATTGAATTGGTGGTCAGTGATACCAAGGTGGATTTGATCTTGTCAACAGCCACGATAGGTACCTACCTACTATTACTATAGTACCTACCTATAATAGTCGTGGTTACAGCTTATCACTTTCAATCGCCAATAAACTAATGGACATCGCAAAATGCTAGGCTATCATATTATAACCATATAACTGAGAGAGAAAGAACATAAGTACATGTTACGCCGAATTTATGAAATTGCCGATCATATAAATTCGGCAGAAAAATTGCCTATAAATTAGCAAAGCTGTTGCCGACAACATGAAATCGGCAACTTGAAGTTCATAATCCTGCCGATCGCGTGAAATCTCAAGACCATTCTTAAAAAAATTATAACACATCATTTAATATAAATGAATGTGTTATATTTTACGATCTTACACAAAACACTAGAAATATAATAAAATCTAATTGTAATAAATTATGTGTACAAAAAAGTAAAAAAAAAAAACGAAAGTTATATTATATTAATTTTTAGATTCTGAGTGGAACGATGAATGTATTGATTTTACAATGATGTGTGTATTTTGTGTCTGTCATCACCTTTTAGGACAGTAAAAGTGCTTGGATTTTCTTCAACAGTATCTTTTCTGATAGGAAAGTGAATCTAGTTGGTAATTTGGGGGGTCAAAAGTAAAAATATCACAGTACTTTTCAAAAGCGCCGTGAAAAACAAAAGAAAAATTAAGGAAAAACAGGAATTTTTACGCAAAATCTGTTTTCGAGAAAATGGAATTTAGTTTTTATAGTTTAACTTTAAAAAAAATGACCGTAGATACATGCAATTTTCACTGGTTGTTTATATTTGAATTTTCTATATACGATAACATTTTCAAAATACTTTGATTTATTTTTAACTGTTTAGGGACATTTTCAGTTTAAAATTATATTAGTTTTTAGATTCTGAGTGAAACGATGAATGTATTGATTTTACAATGATGTGTGTTTTTTTTTTTGTGTCTGTGTACACGATAAGTAGTCGAAATAATGCTTCGATTTTCGACTTCAGTATCTTGTTCGATTGGAGAGTGAATATCGTTGGTGCATTGGGGAGGTCAAAATTTAAAATTCCCAATAGTTTTCACAAGCGCCGGGAAAAACAACATAAAAATGAAGGGAAAACGGGAATTTTTACGCAATATTGGTTTTTGACAAAATCGAATTTGGTTTTTGGTGTAACTTTAAAAAAAAATGACCGTAGATACATGAAATTTTGACTGGTTGTTTATATTTGCCTTTTCTATACACGATAACATTTTCAAAATATTTTGATTTATTATGAACTGTTTAGGGACATTTTCATTTTCCATTTTTTTTTAGTTTTTTTCCTAAAAATATCAATAAAACTTTGTTTGTTGAGTAGAAATACTTGAAAATTTAATACAAGGTTCCTACTATATTGTTTCAAAGGCAGATGAAAGATATTAAAAATCGTTAGTCACAGTTTTTTTTTATAAGCATTTAAAGTTCAAAAATTGACAAATCACGAAAATTAGCAAATTATTTTGAGTTAAGTATTCGTAAAAATTTTTCTTTTTAAATCTAAGATTTGAAAATGTAATACAAGATTACTCATAAGTTTGTCTACCTTTATCAATAAAAAAATGAAAATCTCTACCGGACAGTCAAATTAAATTTTTATGAGCGTTTGAAATTCAAATTTTTACAACATTGGATGTTCACTCGATTTCTCATGTAGCGATTTCCTTATTTTATTGTTATTCATAAACGAATAACTATAGATACATGAAAATTTCACTGAATGTTTGTATAAGCATTTCCTATACACCATACAATTTTGAAAATATTTTGACTCTTTTTGAGCTGTTTACGGATATTTTCATTTTTAAATTTTTTTAGTTTTTTTTTCTATGAATATCAATAAAGTTTTATCTGTTGGGCCAAAAAGTGTAAAAATTTAATACAAGGCTCTTGATATATTGTTATAATATCAGTTGAAAAATATTAAAAATATTTTAACAGAATTTTTCAAAATCTCGAAAATTATTAATCATCGTAATTAATAAATTATAAAATAATCAGTTTTTATAGCTAAGGATTGAAAATTTAAAACAAGATTCCACGTAAGTAGTTAATTCTTTTACCAAAAAATCTAAAAAATATACAATCACAGTTTATTTTTATAGTCATTTTATGTTCAAATTTGGACGAAATTACACATTAAAAAACCTAGTTATTTTGTTGTGATTATATAATATTATTCATGGGTACCTACTTGAAACTTCTAAAGTTTACTATTATATATCAATGATAGTATCAGGATTTGTTATTGATGTTGATGTATCATGTATAACGTGTTATAAGTACCTAATGGATATTGTGATAATGTGATATGATTAATTTGGAATTTATTATAGGTCAATTTTTTTTTTAATACCATAGATATGTATATAATTTGTCTTAAACCTAGACTGACATACCGTCTTCGCTCAGAATCGTTTTTCTTATACAATGATATTGCATCATTGAATTAAAATTTAATACCATCCATTATACAGTGACCCACTTGTAACCTACAGTACAGCAGAGCGACATCCACTTACCCACCTTTTTTTTATGAATATCAATAAAAATTTATTTGTTGACTGTTGAGTAAAAATACTTGAAAATTTAATACAAGAGTCCTAGTATATTGTTTCGAAGGCAGATGGAAAAGATTAAAAATCCTTAATCACAGTTTTTTTTTATAAAGCATTTAAAGTTCATAAATTGACAAAATATGGAAAAATCAAGAAAATTATCAAATTATTTTGAGTTAAGAATTCGTAAAAATGTTTCTTTTTAAATTTAAGATTTTAAAATGTAATACAAGATTCCTTATAAGATTATCTACTTTTATCAAAAAAAAAAAATGTCTATAAGAAAGTCAAATTAAATTTTTATAAGAGTTTGAAATTCAAATTTTTAAAATATTGGATATTCACTCAATTTCTCATGTAGGTAGCGATTTCCTTATTTTGTTGTAATTCAAAAATAAATAACTGTAGATACATGAACATTTCACTGAATGTTTATTTTATCAATTCTTATACTTGATAAAATTTTCAAAATATTTTTACTTGTTTTGAGCTGTTTACGGACATTTTCAGTTTTCAATTTTTTTAGTTTTTTTTTTTCTATAAATTTCAATACAGTTTTATCTGTTGGGCCAAAAAGTGTAAAAATTTAATACAAGGCTCCTGATATATTGTTACAATATCAGTTGAAAAATATTAAAAATACATAGGCACAATTTTTTTTATAAGCATTAAAGATCGAATTTTGACAAAATTTATCAAATTTAAAATTGAATAATTATTTTGTAGTTAAAAATTTATAAAATGTTCAACTTTTATATCTAAAGATTGAAAATTTAATACATGATTCCACGTAAGTACCTAGTTAATTCTGTTACCAAAAATCTAAAAAATAAAGAAGGACAGTTTATTTTTATAGTCATTTTAATTTTTAAGTTCAAATTTGGACGAAATTATATAAAAAAAACCTTGAATAACTATTTTATGTTTTGATTGTATAATATTATTTGTGGGTAGGTACTTGAAACTTCTAAAATACACTATTATATAGGGATCTATGATAGTATCAGGGTTTGTTGTTGATGTATAACGCGTTATACTTATAAGAACCTATTGGATATTGTGATATGATTAATTTGGAATTTATTATAGGTACCTACCTATTATAGGTCAATTTTTTTTAATACCATAGATAAGTATATAATTATTATGTCTTATACCTAGACTGACATACCGTCTCCGCTCAGAATCGTTTTTCTTATATACAATGATATTATATCATTGAATTCAAATTTAATACTGTCCATTATACAGTTACCCACTTGTAACCTACTGTACAGCAGAGCAGCTTTTTTTAGTTATATATTTATATTCATTATTCATAAATTTTGGCAACTATGGCCACCGTGGCACGCCAAATTACCGCATCATG